CCCCGCCACCAACCTCGAACCCCAGACCAACCCGGGCTAGCCATGCACAGCGCACCGCCGCCCAGCAGCCCCTCTCCCGCCACGACCAACACACCACAGAACCCACAAAGATTTCCCTTTCCGGGCCATGGAAACCAAGAGAAGAAGGAAAAAAAAAAAAAAAAAAATTGCTTGTTGAAGAGCTCACTGAAATTCGCATGGCCATCTCAAATAGAGTTCACAGCCGCAGAAGAAAATAATAAAAAAAAACTATTATGGGAGAAAAATGTATAACACGTGTCCATTAGTGGGTGAGCTAAATTTTGAAAAGGGTCTTTTTCATATATTAATTTTTTTTTTGGTCGGTTTGAAAAATATAATGGAACTGGATAAAACGGCGCCGTGTGGGACGTGATTATTTGTTTGTGGAGTTGAAAATGGGCTGTGAGGCGATGCGGCGTAAATAAAATTAGAGAGGGTTCGGGGGATTCTTGGGTTGGGAGTAGTGGGTACCTAAAGACACTTGCTTTCGGCGGTTTGATTTTCAAAGTCTTTTTTTTTTTTTTTTTTGGGCACCCATGGCTTGTACTTATTGGTACTTCTTGTTTTATTTAGGGGAAAGAAAGGTTGGTGGAATTGGAAAATGATAGTGTGAGAAAAATATTTTGGACGTGTGGATGTCAATATGGTTTAAATTTGATGGGTTTAAAAGTTTTCCAACGAAGAACTTGGAATTTGTATGCAAATGCAAGAAGACATGTGGATGTCAATATGGTTTAAATTTGATGGGTTTAAAAGTTTTCCAAGAAAGAACTTGGAATTTGAATGCAAATGCAAGAAGACATGTGGATGTCAATATGGTTTAAATTTGATGGGTTTAAAAGCTTTCCAACGAAGAACTTGGAATTTGTATGCAAATGCAAGAAGACATGTGGATGTCAGTATGGTTTAAATTTGATGGGTTTAAAAGTTTTCCAACGAAGAACTTGGAATTTGAATGCAAATGTAAGAAGACATGTGGATGTCAATATGGTTTAAATTTGATGGGTTTAAAAGTTTTCCAACGAAGAACTTGGAATTTGAATGCAAATGTAAGAAGACATGTTTAATTTGAAAAAGGAACTATTTAATGGGTGTTAGGCAATTTAATTAATTAGTAAAACCAAAAGAGTTCGAAGTTAAATCTTGATAACACCCACTAGTTGAATAATGTATCAAAAGTTTTTATATTGTTTGAAAAATGTTCAAATCAATCATACTTTTTTTTCGGTTTAAATATAATTTTTTACGTTTGGATTTTATTTGAATATACATTCATCATTAATGATATATTTAATACTCTTAAATATATGATCGCATAATAAAAATCGTGTTTATGTAAGTATAAAATTTTAAAAATATAGCTAGCATGACAACCACACAAATTGATGATGCATTATTTTTTTTATTTAAATACAATATATATTTGAATAGACCTTCATCACTAATTGTTTGTCTAACACTCTTAAATAAATGATCGCGTAGTAGAAATCATATCTATATGGGTATCGAGTTTTAAAATATGGTCAATGCAACAACCACATAATTACTTCTATTATTACTACTGTTATTTTTTACAGTACTATGCTTTTATGTATCACTGAGCTGAATAACGATATTTAAATAAAAATTGAAAAGTATTAGAGGGCATTGGTATTGATTAACATCATAGTAGCCCGTTATACATCGCACTAGCAAGATTTTTAAAACTTAATGTTTATATGAATACATCGTTTATTATATTATAAATCTGTATAAAAATATAAATACTCTTAATGATAAAAATTTATTGAACAATATTTAGAAGTTTCGATTACATTTGAAATGTAAAATTATTGTTGGAGTCAATTTGACTTTTTTGAATAGTACAAAAGGTTATATATATGTATATATATTACTTTATTAATATATTTTCTCAATCTAAAATTAAGAGATATAATTGAAAAAAATATAATGATTTATTATTATGCAATTCATAAACTAATAAAAAAACCTACTAATTTGAAAGAAAAATACAATAAAAGAGACACGAACCCAAATTTAATGAGTTACTTCTCCAAGTCATGACCCATTAATGCAAAGTGTTATATATATATATATATATATATTTGAATAGATTAATACATTAATTAATTAAATTATATAGATATATCGAATATTATATTATAATATAAATAATTTACAAACAATGATCATTAAATAAAAAAAGTATAGTATAAATTAAACTTAAGAACTAATTAATTAAGTAATTATTGATTATAGAAATCTAAACAACTTTTTACCATTAGTGGCTGAAAATATTTAGTTTTTTTTTAATTAAATTTAGTTGAAATTTATTCAAATCTTAAATTTGATTAAAATACAAAATTATGGAATTTAACAAGTGATTAAATTATTAAATTAAAAATTATGGAATTAACATATTTCAAATTTGAATATTCTGTGTAAGAAAAATGAAATGTGAAATAAGTACAAAACGACAAATTGAAAAGACACATACCAGCCGACGCCGGGGTCTCTTAAGAAAAAATTCGAATGATTGTGGGGGACCTGCGACTTTTTCAACGTCACCAATTTAATTTTAAATCCTAAAATAATTTATATTAAATAAAAAAAATAAAATTATACAAATATTTATTAATTTAAAAATTATAATAAAATTAATAAATATTTATTTTTTAATATTAAGTAATTAATTATGTTTAACGGGCCTGAATTTGAATTATCAAACCGGGCCCATTCTAATAATAAAAAACAGTTTATTGGATATTGTTTGGGCCGTTAGTCATTGATTAAACGGCGTCGTTTATGGTTTCAATAAAACCACACGTCGGAGTTTACTGGGCTCTCTTGAGTCTCGACGACCGCCCGTCTTCGTCTTCTTCCTCGTGGTCGGTCTGTGATGCCCCGAGGCAGGGTCCGATTACTCAACCGATGCGACAGCTAAGTCAACTGAATTCCCGGAGTCTGGCAAAGCCGGTGTTGTAGCGATGTAAGGCGCATGATGTCACGCTGTTCCATTTCTTCACTCCTCGTCGTGCTCCTCCGTCGAGGTTTGAGGTTTTGAATCCTCCGAGAAGCTCGTTATCAATCGACCGAAGCTTGCGGGTCACCGGTTCTCTATCTACGTCCTATATCAGGTTTTTAAAGCTCGTGTTCTCTGCTCCACATATATATATATATATATATATATGTGTGTGTGTGTGTAATTTTGCTCTTACGCTTGTGTCTGTGCTTTTTCTTTAACTGAATGTGGATCGGAGGGGCACATGCTGTTTGGTTTCCCTGAAAACTGGAAGGAAAATTTTAATTAGATTTTAAAGCTTTTAATATATTATCCAAGGAATGTGAAGTTTCGATTCAACTGGATTATATAGCTGTTTGAGTGTAAACAATCAAACTTTAAGAAATTGAAACTCAAAGTTTATCAATTTTCTTGTGGTTTGAGAATATAAACGTTCGAAATTGGGACTTGAACCTTTTTCTTTTCTTTTAGGATTTTTGGAATTAGTTTTTAATAGGAGTTGTTATCGTTATGTAGAAATGGGGATTCTCGTGCTTTAGTCTAGAAGACTCCTCCTTAATGACTCCTGATTCTGAGTGTCACGGAGATAATTTGTCCGAGGAATTTTTGGAGCGTAAATTGGATCAATCAAAAGGGTGCGAGAAAAGATTGGATTTCAGATATTCTAAAGGTGAGAGTTTATTTCACCTCTTGGTAAAAGGACTTTTAACTTGTGGATGAGAATATTTTTTTACCTGCTAGTTAATTTAGTTGTTCTTTTTTTTTTTTTAACAATGGATATTGCTTTTGCTGTTGTTTCATTTCAAGAACTTGTAGATCTTTTAGAAAAGAGACAAAATAGCGTTAATTTCATCCATATGGTCTGTTGGAATACAATCGACAGAAAACAGTTCGTTGTTGTGTGAATCATGGTGAATTCTAGTCTTCAGTTTATTCACCATGCCTGTGAATTTTGTTATGTTGATTCCAATACATTGCTATGGAGTCTGATCATTTACACCTTGGTAGAACCCGATATTCCTAAATGTTGATGCTCAATAAGTGTTTACCCCGTCCTTTGTAATTACAAGTCTGAAACCAAATCAAATTAAACTGCTCTAGATGGATCTCTCTGCCGGTCCATCATTCCCTTGTGGGGAAAAGCTATCTGTCCTCTAGTGTTGGTTGTCACTGTAGCTCTGTAGATAGGCCATAGTTATTGTTTAGTAAAGTGGAAACACTTATTAAACTGCTCTGCATGATTAATTGGCCTTTAAAGTAAGCTTGAGTCAGATGCTGACACTTGGGCGCTTTGGTCATTATACTTTATTATATATATGTTTTCTTTTCACCCATCCCATTTTTTCCGCTGTTCTATATCTAGGTAGTCCCAAAAGTTCCATGACCACCATATATACACAATTAGGTTTTACCTTATTGAGTACTGGTGCGTTCTGTAAGATTCTGTTAATTATTTGAGAGGAGTGATCTGCAATGTCATACTATAAATAAAAGAATTAGACTTTCTGGATTCTGTATCTCTATGTTAATTATTTGAAAATAGCAATATATGGTATCTGCGGCCGGTAATATTATGTCTAATTATCTTTGCGGGTTACCAATGCAGTGTTTAATAGTAAACCATGGACCTTGCAATCAGACTTTCAAAGACTATTCATCAGGTGGATAATTTACTGGATTTGGATTGAACATTTTCAGTGGAAAATCAGCTTATTGTCTGTTTGATAATTATCAAAAGAAAACCAAACTTCAGTGCTTAATGGAGTTTTAATTTGGAGGCCAGTTACAAACTTCGGTGCTGAATGGAGTAATAACTTTTTTTTTTGAAACAATGAATGGAGAATGGAGTAATAACTTAGACATTGATTTTGGCATCCCATGATAACAGAGTGTTTTGAGTGCCTGGTTGTAGGATCAGTGTTAATATGTCTGAGTAACTGTTGATATATCAGTACTTAAATTAGAAAGAGTTGTGGGTGAGATCATGAACATTGAGAAATGGTCATTTCCGTTGGTAGAAATAAGGGATTTCATGAATCAAGCGAACACTCACACGGAAGTGTAATATCTAAGAATAAACTTTCCTACTAGATTTTGGATACTTTGCACAGTTGGATTTGGTTTTTGCAAGACATAATAGTCTCTATCAATCTAAAGAAAATGATTTACCTTAATCTTGCTTTATGAGATTTTTGGTGATGCAGGTAATGCTCTTTGGGATTGCCTCTTTCTGTTTGCTCAGGTCACATGAATAATTCTGTTTCAGGTTCATACAGTTGGGTTCGGAAAATGATATTTGCCATACAGAGGACAACCCCTGTACAGCCTCTTTACTGATGTAGCTGAAGGTCTTGATCGGATGGCAATCCTCCACCGTTGTCTTGCAAGGTTTCATCTCCTTCCATCTGACTGGTTCAGGCTTACCCTTAAGGAAAAGTGGCAGTTTGATGTTGGGCTGGGCTGCCCTTTTTCCTTTTGTCAATCATACAAGTCAACTAAAATTTGTTACCTACATGCCCGTTAGATTCTCAGTTTTGATGAGTTTGGTAGGTTTTGCCGTGGCACACTTCAATATCCACGGAATGCTACCATTTCTCTTTGGTGGCTCTTACATAAGCTTGGAATGCCCTTGTACTCTGTACTTTATTTTTCTTAAGCTCAGGGATCAGTTTCTTTATACTCTGTACTTCCAGGGTTTCACTTGATCTATTGCGACAAACTGTCCTTTTCGATAATCTTGTAGGAAGTGAACTTTATTGTTACTTTCGTATCAGCACCAATTTCCCACATCTTGTGATGGATGGAATGTCCATCCTTCCGGTGGAGAAGTGGGGTTAAGTAACTTAAGCTAAAGGCTGTTATAGAACTGATGCAACATCCTTCCATGATTCAATTACTGTAGTTAGAAGTGACCAACTGCTAGTCTCACTTGGAGTCCTCGTTTTTAAACTTTTGCCGACTCATGCATAAATGATTATAAAAGATAATTCTGGAAGACAGGAACAGTGAAGTAAGTGTATTATGATGTGCTGAACAAATCAGTTTAATTGCTTTTCCTCAAATTTATTTTCTGCCACTGAAAACATTCTCCTTGGAATTAACTGCTTTATGTACGTAGATTCTCTGGCATTTGCTCATTGTTTTCGAAGGGGGACGCAAAGCGGGACCAGTTGGTTTCAGGTCACTTTCCATTCTTAGCTTTTGTCCCAGAAACCTTGTTTAATGTCTATATCATTCCCCGACAGTTCTATGGACCTTTGTCTGCTATTTTTGTTTTTGTAGATTGTTTGCAAATAATAATTAGTTATATTTTGGATGAAAAAGACATTGCTTTCTCTAGCATTTAAGTTTTGAAAAGATTCTAACTCACCACCACTCAGACTGTTAGTGGATGTAAAAGCCTGAAATTTCCTTACCATGAGAACTAGATGATATTTTTTATTTTTCCTGTTTCTTCTCCTTTCATATTTTTTTATGTCTCTGTTTAACTCTTTCAAGGACAAAAAACATGGCTACGTATTGCAGTAGGCATCATTCACCCCTTATCTAGATCCTGAACAAGAGAATTAATTTCCAACGAGTCATCTTGTATATTTGTTGTAATGTTGTTCTGAATTAAAGGACTGTGAATATTGTTGTCTGAATTACAACTCTTCTCATGTGTCATTATGATGCTCGACTTTATCTTAATCTAGGATGTTGCATCTCTTTTTTTTTTCCCCTTTTCCTCCAGCCATCCTGTGAGAGATACTAGATTTGGTTGATATGATTTTTTTTTTTTTTTTTTTTTTTGACAAACTTATTATTTGCAAGTTATGAAAATATGTTGGAGCCAAAGAATTTACATCTGGATATATGTCATAAAATTAGTGCAAGTTCTAACTGTTGCTTTCCTAGGGAATTTTCTGATTTAGAGTTGATAGACTATGCTGGCCTGCATTTAATATGTTATCTGATGGGTGCTGTAGAAAATTTTATAGCATGACATGTTTTATTTTATTTTATTTTTTAAAGAAAAAAGAAATTAGACATTTGGTACTTCAAAGGGGCTACTCACCTTTTTGTCGTATTGATGTTTTTAGGTAGATGAAAAACATTATTTGCTTTCACTATTTGGACATGTATTTTATGATCCTTTATGTTGAGCTCTTAGCTGTGGCAGGTAGGTTATGAAAATGAGCATGTTGAAGTCATCTTTTCGGGATGCCTGTGTTTGATAATCGCAGAGTAAGTACCTGAGAATATTGTGAGAAAACAATTCAGGCTGAGTGAAATCACCAAAATATTTCTAGTATGCATCCAATAAATAAATATTTTTTATAGATATTCTTGTTTTCTTTTTTAGAGCATCTTGGATTGACCGTAGGGTTGACATTAACATACCCAGCAGAGACCCTAATTGGTTTTGATTCATTTCTCTTTGTAGAATATTATTAGTTTCGAAGAAATTTTTGAAAACAGAATGATCTGTTTTCTTTTTTTTTTTGAATGAGGGACAATTATCTGTTTTATCATCTTGTTACATTGCTCTAGAGGCTGCGGATGTGTAAAAATGTAGTATGCATGAACCTATGCCATTTTCTTTTCTTATAATTTAGTTGTGATAATTTATAAATGAAATAAAACTGCAAAAAAAAGGAAAAAGAAAAGGTAGCTATCTTCTTTTGTGAAGTTTAAAGTAAATGTGGGGTTAAACAGCCCTGATGAAATAGTAGATTGCGAGTACTAGTGGGGGCTCACATTGCTGTTTCTTTTCTTTTCCCTTTTTAATTATTAAATCTCATTGTCTCTTGCCAAACAACCACATATAGATGCATTAGTGAGAGAGGATATGAAGGTATATAAATATGTAGGAGATATATTTGTTCCATGAGAGAAGAGCCCTTGCTGTTAACCCACCTCGTCTGACTCTTTCTTTTTTGAGAATCTTTTCATCTCTATTTTCTTACATAACTTAGTAGAGTGGAAGCCATGGAAACTTCCTCTCAGCCTCTGTCCATTGAAAGTTTTTCCTATAGTTGGCTAGTAAACCTAAAACCATCCTTAGACAGCCTTGATGGCTCTCTCCGAGCCTCCTTGGATGCATGCGATGAAGCTTCCTTCATCGAGATGGACCCAAGAATGCCACCTTCTAAGAGATTCTTTAGAAGTTCTCAAGATTTAAAGTTTGATTTCCCCATTGCTCAGTCTCCTCTTGCTCTTGTTCATGCTGATGAGCTGTTCTCCAATGGTTATGTTATGCCTCTTTTTGTTGATCCATTGAAGATGGAGGCGTTTAGAGCCTCTGATTCAGCTCCGGCCATCCCTACCACCTCCTCCCACACTTCAAAACTTGGGATTCCAGCTAAGAAAGCAAATACTTTTCCCAGCAGAAGGTGCCGAAAACTGTCAAAGCGAATGTTCCTCAAGTATTTGGCTTTTCTCAGGCCATTGTATCAGAGACTTCGGGGACGCAAGTCGAGTTCCAGTCCTGGCAGTGTTGATACAAGACCCCGGGGAAAGAAGAACTGGGTGTACTCGACTGAAACTTCTCCACGGATAAGTGTTGCTTACTCCACGGATGACTGTTGGCGCAGGTCTTGTGATTCTGAAAGTTCCATTTATGAAGCTGTTCTCCACTGCAAAAAATCTTTCGGTATGTCAATCTTCGCCTCCTAACATATTAAAAATCTCACCAACGTAATTATTCTTGTGAAAATCTTCAGATCTTATAATTCTTGTATCAAATTATTTACTCGTAGTTTATTGTTTTTTCATTTTCCAGGAAAATAACTTGAAGTTTCTTGTATATAAAACACTCTCTCTCTCTGTGTCAGAGAGAGAGAGAGAGAGAGAGAGAGAGAGCAGAAGAAAGAAAGACAAGGGAAATTAAGAAGCCAATGCAGATACCCATGTGAAGAATATCACCAGCTACTCGTCCTTTGTTTTTTCTTCTCTTCATCCGGAATCTTGATAATGTAAATTTTTGTCCTATAATAGATTAATTAGAAGCTGTTTGAATTCCTGGAGCCATTGAAATTCTGGGCTGAGGGGGGAAAAAAAAAAAAAAAGAAAACTGATGGCTTCTGTCTTAAATTCTTCCTTACAGGAGGCAAGCAACAAGAAGGAATCTCTTCTTTATTCTTGTAAAGCTCTTTTCTTAAGTAAATGAAATTGGGATTTTACTTTTTCTAAGTTTCAATTTTCTATATATCAAACTGTTTGATAAGGTTCGAGTTGCAGGACCACAAAATATGTGATGAAAGCTGTTGGATGATAATGTTGATGATGAAATTTCTGCTTTCACTGTTTTGAGGTCCCTTCACTTCTTCGAACACATGCTACCGAGAAATCAGAAACTCTCCGGTTCGAACCTGGGGTGGTTTTTTCGGAAACGAATTCGGAAAATATGTAAACTTCGGTTTTAGATTTATATCTTCACATTTAATTGTGAATTTATATGTAAATTTTGTGTATTCTTCTTCAGTTTCTGATAATATTTGTAGAAAACTGCATGTTATTGTAAACATACTTTGAGAAGAGAATGCTTCAATGTTTGTGATTCCAAGAAAACTGCAATTAGACTTTTTGGCTTTTGGTATACTTTATTTACTTTTTATATCTATCTATCTATCTATATATATATATATGTGTGTGTGTGTGTGTATAAGCAATCATGGCTGCAGATGCTCCAATCTCCAATTATCAGAACTCTCTGTCTCTCTCTCTCTCTCTTCTCCCCCACATGGGTGAAGAAACCAGATACTTTCAAAACTTTGGCTTGTCTTTCACATGCTTCGCACAACATACTGAAATGATGGGAATATTGTTCTTACTGCAATTCGAGTTATAATCTGTTTACTCCCAATAGAAATAAATTTATAAATGTTTATTCAGAAATTTTGAGAATATTAACTGTTTTAAATATAGAAATACACATATATATATATATGTATACATATATGTGTATATAACAAACAAATCATCTTTTTGAATCTCTTCGACAGAGATGCATGCTTTCTTTGATTTCCCTGACGTAGAGTCTTTTTTCTTTTTTGGTAAATCCCCGTAGCAGAGAGTTGCAAGTTTAGAAAATGTCACTATACATATATATATATATATATATATGTAACAGTGAAGATTCTCACAGTTAATTTTTCAAACGACAGCAATAATAATCTGAGCAAACAGTATCCGAGTACGTAATTATCAATCCTACTCCAGCTGCTGCTACAAACAGTATCGGATTATCAACAAAAAAAAAAAAAAAAAAAATCTCCATGTGAATGGTTCCCTCTTCATGATCTACTGTTCAAGAAAAATCTCTCCCTGAAGAATCCATCTTCCATCTTTTTGGAACACAAATTTAAGCATATATATATATGTATATATATTTATCTATATAACCAAAGCTGGCAATAAAGAATCCAAAACTCAAGCAAACATCTTCTGCTTCCTCTGCTTCATATTCAGACACGCCTCATGTATATATTAATTTCTTTTTATGTAATAATACCCTCATTGATCATCATCATTCTCCTCCTGCCAAGCTGTGGTTTGATCTTTTTATCAAAGGAATCACCCATATATTTTTTTAATATTCTCTTTTTTCTTTTGCCCATATCTTTGCAACATGGTATTCTTAGTATGTGTTTATAATATATATATATATATATATATGTATAGATATGATTTCTGCAGGGACAAAAAGGCTTATAAATCATTGAACAAACAAGCTGACTGCAGTACTGATGCTTGAATATAATATTTCATATTATTAAATTAATGCCAACATAAATTTCCATTATGGAGAATGGTAAGTAACCCTAAAAGGCAGGCAAGAGAGCTGCAACCACATCATTCTGCAATGTGAAGCTTCTCCAAGTATGTCTGCTTGAAGTGTCTCTAAATTCAGCTGCAAATTTTCTCGCCTTTTTAACGAAATCATCATTGAAATCTTCGATAACTTCCAAGAGTTTTACGCCGAAGTCTAAATAAGATTTGTTTATTTCGAACCCTTTTTTATACAGAATCTTTAAAATGTGCCTTATTTTACTAGAGTATGCCTGAAGAAACTCTGCCCAATTAGGAAGAGTGTGGCGCAAGGAAACTTCCTCAGCTTTCAAGATATAATATTTGTAATTTCTTAATTTATAAGCATCCCCTTTCGAATTAATAAGAATTTTACGAGATTGATTGGTGTAGTCATCGATTTAAACAAATTTATAAGATAATATCTTGATAAAAAATTTATAATTAATTTAGTCAGTTCGATAAATTTTACAAAGAAATAGACTAGTAGATTATCAAGATTTTCATAAATTACTTTAAATTTAAAGACGATCACCTACATTTTCGATATTACTGGGTATGCTGCAAAAAGACTAACTCTCGAAATTTCATTTCAATTTTAATAAATCGGGCAATTTTTTTTTTTCTTTTTCTTCTTCAAAATGTTCAAAACGAACTTGCAATAATTAACGTCATTCTATTCGGGCCAAGGCAGCGAAAGGCGCCTGGTTCTGGTCCCCCCAAATACAAGCATTTTTGTGTCGTCTCCAATGCACGCTGCACACAACAAGACGCCGATTTCTCCCAAATCTTGATCCGAAGAGCGAACCATTTGCAATTTTTATGCTCGAAACCTTTAAATAAAATAAAATAAAAGAAAGAAAAGAGTTTGGTTGGCCTAATTTTAGCCAGGGAAGCATCAAGAGAACTGGCTAACATTTAGAGATGTGTCACATGTCATGAGAAGCAGGATAGGGAGACATTGACAAAATGTGCTAGGAGAAATGCCAATGTTTGGATGACAATGATTTTCTGTTTCTATCTACTTCTTTCTGTCTTGCTTGTTGGATTTTTTGCTCATTTTTTTATAAATAAAATTCGGGATAACCTAACACGATGCATTTATTTTTTTATTTTTCTCTCATTTTTGTTACAAAATTTAACCTAATTTTTCTCGCGGGGACCAAAATGTTGCGGAAAAAAATAATAATAATTGGATGAACGCAATGCGAAATCAAATTTGAGATTTTACCCGAATTAAATACTATATATTTTGAAAACAAATGCAAATTGAATCAGGGAGAGATCAAACTATGACAATACAAAAAATTTTATGTGATTCAATTAATATATTCACCATTGTCTTTGCTTAAATTGACCAAAGAGATGAACAACTTGAGGCTCTGAAATTCAGGACGTATACATACATTTACATATATATACACACAAACACACACATAAGGCCAAGATTTTTCAAACATGTCATTTAAAAAAGTCATGTCAAATTATTTTTTTCCTTCTCAAAAGAGACGAAATTAGCATCTCTGAGTACTTTTCTTCTTTTTTTTTTTCTTTCTTTCTTTCTTTTTCTTTGTCGACTAAATTCCAAAAAACTACAGATTTAACGGATATATAGGGAAATGAATTGTCATTTTGGAAAGAAGTGATCAATTATGTGCATGGTTGAGTATTCCACACAGCAACTTATACTCCATAATGTATGTATACATCTACATAGAGATGAATATATATAATCTAAAGATATATAGGGAAGACACTACATATAGTTCTAATCAAGTATATGAGCAATGATAGTACGTTCGGGAAAACGTAGACAGGTAATTAAACATGTTGCAGAGCTAAAACGTGCAGTAATACATAAATAATATATATATATATATTAGTTCTGAGCCGATGCTCGCTCTTAATGAGATGAAACTTACGGAGAAAATATATATATATATATATATATATATGAGCCTATTAAAATTATACAGTATTTTTTCTTGGTTAAGTTAGGCCAATGCTTTAACAAGAAGTTTTGTATACGGAATCACTAGCTAGAAACCAGAAAGAAAGGATTGATGGAACATGAATTAGAGCGACCAAGGCCAGGTTTCATGGTGTTTGTCGGGTGAAAGTAAGCTTTGGATGTCATTGTTACAACTTTTAAAACAATGAACAAACCCATATGTAAGACATATCTATACATATAATCT